CAGATTTTGCGTAAACTTCCAGGGATGAACAACCTTAATGTGTAGATGGTAGTAAAGGAAGGAATATTTTTGCTGCGACCAAATGTAACAGAATTATGGCCCTTTGTTGATTTTTAGTTTTCAACTTGTGGCACATGTAGTCCAAAAAATATTTGACCTAGAGTCATAAGATTGACAGAACAGTGGCGTGAGGGGGCATCAGTGTCCTATGGACACATTTCTAGTATTTTGGTTATTTTGTACAAAAAAGATTATTCTGGAAAAGCAAGGTGAATGATCTGAAATTTTGTGCCTAAACCTATGTTATTGGTATAGAACTTTATCAAATGGCTTTAAAATCTTTCCAAAAAAAAAAATTAAAAAAAATCCAGTCCCATTTCAAAAAAAACACTGCGGTAGCCATTTAATTGAATAGATTTATATGTCAGAATAAGCTGTTCACAAAATCTAGTCAAAATGCAGGACTCTTTCTATGGAGGTTGCCCATTCTTCATGCTGGTGGCATATGCTAGATACACAATTGTTAAAGTGAAACACAAGTTTAGTTGTGTTTAGAGTTTGTATTATTAGTTATACCCCCGCACAACAAAGTTGTAAGGGGGGTATACTGGAATCAGCTTGTCCGTCCGTCCGTCCGTCCGTCCGTCCGGCCGTCCGTCCGTCGGTTTTTTCTTGTCCGCCCAATAACTTAAGATTCCTTTGACCCTTAGTCTTCATATTTGGCATGGAGGTTAGTCATGATTAGTAGATGACCCCTATTGATTTTGAGGTCACTAGTCAAAGGTCAAGGTCACCAGGGGCCTTGACTTCAAAAAGCTTGGTCCGCCCAATAATTTAAGATTCCTTTGACCCTTAGTCTTCATATTTGGCATGGAGGTTAGTCATGATTAGTAGATGACCCCTATTGATTTTGAGGTCACTAGGTCAAAGGTCAAGGTCACAGGGCCTTGACTTCAAAAAGCTTGTCGCCCCAATAACTTAAGATTCCTTTGACCCACAGTCTTCATATTTGGCATGGAGGTTAGTCATGATTAGTAGATGACCCCTATTGACTTTGAGGTCACCAGGTCAAAGGTCAAGGTCACAGGGGCCTTGACTTCAGAAAGCTTGTCCGCCCTATAACTTAAGATTCCTTTGACCCACAGTTTCATATTTGGCATGGAGGTTAGTCATTGATTAGTAGATGACCCTATTGATTTTGAGGTCACCAGGGGTCAAAGGTCAAGGTCACAGGGGCCTTGACTTCAAAAAGCTTGTCCGCCAATAACTTAAGATTCCTTTGACCCACAGGTCTTCATAATTTGGAATGGAGGTTAGTCATGATTAGTAGATGACCCCTATTGTTTTTGAGGTCACCAGGTCAAAGGTCAAGGTCACAGGACTTTGACTTCAAAAAGTTTGTCTGCCAATAACTTTAGATTCCTTTGACCCACAGTCTTTATATTGGCATGGATGTTGATCATGATTAGTAGATGACCCCTTTTGATTTTGAGGTCACTGGATCAAAGGTCAAGGTCATAGGGACTTTGACTTCAAAAAGTTTGTCCACCCATTAACTTAAGATTCCTTTGACCCACAGTCTTCATATTTGGCATGGATGTTGATCATGACTATAAGGTGACCCCTATTGATTTTGAGGTCACTGGGTCAAAGGTCAAGGTCACAGGGACCTTGACAAAAAAAAGCTTTTCTTCTCAATTGCTAAAGAATGTCCTGTCCGCAATGTATTGATTTTGACATTTTCACATTTGAAGCATGTAGAATACATAACTTAGCAATGCACTGGCTTAGTAACCTCAGATTTGGCAGGGAGGTTGTCCTTGAGCTCTAAATGGCCACTGTTGATTCTGACAAAGTGGTATGGGGGGGTATTCACGCCATGATAGTGGCAGTTCTAGTTTATACAGAAATTATTCTTGTTTGATTGTCTAGGAAGTTACATGTATAAGGTATAAGCTTAAAGAAACCCTCAATTCTATTCCTAGAATCAATCAGTACTGAGCAATGAGTGTAAAGTTTCTTGCTCTAGGAAACAATGTCCTGCTCCTGATAGGGGTTTGAACCCATTCAGCCTGCAATCCTTAGATAAGTAGTCTGACAAATTTACCACTCGGCAGTCAGTCATGCCACATATATTATTTATTGATTTTCTTATTTTAGACTTTTTAAGTATTTAACAAGACTTTAAATTTAAAATAGACCAACATTTATATACTCATTTATTTTCATTAGAGTTCCATATAAATCAGTTGTTTTCATTTGTCTCAGGTTGTTACATAGGATGCTGCCTTTGGAATAGAACATACTGATTAACAAAGAGGGACAAAAGGAGTTGCTTGAAACAGGTACATAAATGCTTTAAGAAAGCTTTGTTTTCTTTATATGTGTGTTTAGGGAGCATGCATTTATAACCATAAATTGAAATTCAAGATGCAACTCTGCATTTACTTAAGATATTTCCAAAGTGAGGGCACACAAAGTAAATGCATGATGAGATCATGTTTACTGGAGACCATTCATTTAACAAGTACATGTAGATACTGAAAACATGTGTGTTTTAATTGATTGGTTAATTAATAACATACATGTTAATACACTGACCCCTACTTGGTTTGACCATTTCCCTTTTTAAACAAAATGGATTCCAAAGTAGATAAAGATCTTAACATAATTACAGTCAGGCAAAGCAGTGCAATTATCATGAATATCATTTAATGTTTTGTTGTAGTAAATATAGAAATCAATTAGATATCATTGTAATGTACCTTGGCCTAGTAAGAATATTTTTAATAGTTATATGTCAACTAAGAACAAGAAAAAAATATGTAATATTGCTAAATCAAGAACATTAAAAATGATTTTATGTTAAGTAACAATACTCTGGAAAATATAACTAGTTTTTAAATGTTTGAAAATAATTATTATGATATTTTATATGATGTTTGTATGCTTTTGTATATATTATATATGTTTGTCTTTGCCATATATGTTTATTGTAAATATGGCCAAAGACATTTCACATGATGTCGATAACCAATAAATTTTGAAACCTTTGAATCATGATACTGGAACAAATTAATTGTTATGCTTTATTGGGGGGGGGGGGGGGGGGGGACAACAAAACAATATTTTACATAAATGATCAGTTAGGAGATAAGAACTAAATACAATGTAGCCTGTAAAATGATAACACAAAGGGCATGTTAATTATTTAAATGATTTGTATTGTCTGACTAAACAGTTTTAGAATGGTGCAGGGAATCATTGAAAATTGACATAATATTGTAAAAGTTGGGTTGTTGATTATAGTTTACCCTCAGATCACAGCAGTAAGCCTCTTTGAATTCACCAGAGCACAGTTCAGCCAGGTATGCTTGTCAAGCTGTTTACCAGTACTAGTTGCCGTACTAGTTGCCTTCACTTTCTCAAGGAACTAATATACTTCTGTACATGCCTAAGTGGTCATCATCTGAAAATAGCGTCTGGCCACACATGCAATGGCACAGCGCTAATTACGTAGAAAAGGATTTCATGAAAAAGTGACTTAAGGAAGACTCACTGTAATGCTTTTCCACCAAAAAATTCTAACATCAGCCAATATCATAGAAGATCAGTTTTTTCCGGAATTTTATTTTTTCAAAACCTTGGGCATTCGATTATTAACAATCACTTATCCTATATCGCTTTGTACTAAATTTTGGTTGTAAACAGTAAAAGATTATTGAATTTGTGAAAAATAAGTTTGTGAAAAATAACCTTCTGGAAGTGATTGATTTATTAGGATATTGGCTGATGTTAGAAATTTTTGGGCGGGAAAGCATTACAGTAAGACAATATTAAACTGTGCAGGAATCAAACCCAAGTCATCCAACGCATTAACAGAACATATGTACTTTATTTCTGACTTGGGCTTCACGCCCACCATCATAACATACATATACATATATATTTATTACAGTTATGGAGAGGGGTTGTGACAATAAAGCCTGTTATTTTGTGACAATGGCATGGCACTAACACATGTGGCATTTAAAGGCCATTTGATTTGATGTCTTTGTATTTGAAGAAAAGGTCATTTAATTTGGAAATTTTAATTATTTTGCAGTAGTTTACTGTAACATACCATTTAAACATTTGCTGCTTTGTTGACTTTGTATATATTTACATCAATTAGATGATTAAATTATTACTCCGTTCAGATTTCTTTTGATGTTTGCATTATTTTAATATCTTGATTAGATTATGAAAAACAGATAACTAAAAACGGCATGATACAGGCTTTAAATGGAAACAAAATATTAATATAAATTTTAAATTGAGTGTTTAATAATAATTTTTTACTTATTTAATGCAAGAATTTAGAAAGTTAAAAAAGCATGAAATATATTTAAGGCTATCAGCTATTTATCATAATTTATTATTAACAGTTTTTCTTCAATGGATAATTGAATACATTAGGTTAGATAATTGGATAATTAATTTTTTTGGTAAGATATGTCAAACCAGTATCTCGGTTTTTGATCATGTTTCGCATTTGTTTGGTCCCTTTTATGTTGGTATATATAAAGTTGGTATTTACATTTGAATACACAAAATAATGTATGGAATGTCTAAACAGACATGTTTGATATTTTGTTTGATCAAAAGCCCTAATAATCAGGTCTTTAATCTCTGATACATATCTTCAGACTAGCCAAATTATTGTTCATTTACCGCATTAAAGCACTATTTGTAAAAATCAAAATGTAAACTTAGTCTTCATGTTGTGGATCAGTGCAAAAACGAGATATGTGCTCTCTTGTAAATGGAATGCAATGATAATAGCTTACAGAATTTCGAGCCTTCTGTTTGCCAATTGATAATGTTAGAAATGGCCTATTTCCTGTTGAAATCTGTACAGAGATAGGGCAGTTTAGGAAATATGACAAAAATGCAGACAAGCGTACACTGGAATGTATTTATTTGCCCCAGGTATGTGGAGAAAGATAGGTGGTTATGGAAGTCAACAGTGAAAAGTATGGTATGTTTGACTGCAGGCTAAAAACTAAGTTAATAATATTTGGCCTTACTTCAATAAATGTGTAACAATTGCTAGTTAGTTATTTGAGAGAGTAGAAACTGTGCAAAAGGTAGTTTTCTACTCCTTGATGAGGAATTTCGATAGGTGCTCCAAACGCAAAGGAATATTGATTATGTGAATGAGGCTGGCACATGTGCTGGACGTTTATTGCCGTATAATTCTTAATTTTCGACTATTTTCGTTGTAAGTCATAAAGTTTTAGATCTAAGTCATAATCATGAACAGGTTTTGAAGAAGAAATAGAAATACTTGTTATGAAGGATTAAAGGCTGAAAATAAAGAATTACGGATTACAGTATTTCATCTGATGTTAGAAAATAATAATAAAAGAACGGAGATAATTGTTTGGATGCTGAAATTATGATGAAATAGTGTCTAATTTTGGATTACATTTGTGGAATATTAGAGAAGAAATTATATTCACGGATTGAAAAAAACAATGCATTTAGAAGTAACGCAGAATTATCCAGCTTTTGTACTTGACGATGGTGAGAGGTCGCCAACTTACGCAAATCTTCGAAACATAAAGTTATTGAGCCAAAGCAATAATAATTCAGGTAAATAATATCAAAGAGTGATAATAATATTATATAAATTTAAATGTTTTTTGTTTTTGTTTTTTTTTCAATTTTAATTTAGGTGAAAAATGATATTTTGGTATTAGCAATCTTGCATAATTTACCAATATATGTGTTCAATGGACTTAAATTGTGTTTAATTTAAAACTTTTAATATTTATAAATGTCCCAGTGGTATATAATTGGTAAATATGAGGAATTTCTGACAAAAAGAATAGAAATATAATAGTATTTAAGAATACAGGACCTTGTCAATTAGACAGCACAGATGGCCAGTAAGTGACGTGGGTCTATCAAAGGCATTTCCCATCCCTAGACAAAGAAATAGAAAGAGTTCTAATTAATCCTCTTTAAGATAGATTAAAATGATCATAGATAATTATATTTAGATGAGATAAGGTATATTAATTTTATAAATGTTTAATATGAATATAAATAAGGAAATTGTGTACAAGAGACTCGGCCGAAATATTTGTGTTAATTTATTTTTATAAAATTTGAAAACTTTTTTTTCCATATTATTAAATTTAGAGCAATTTGTGTAGAACTTTACCTCAAAAGAAACATATAAAATACAATATCAGAGTGGCTCACTAATGAATGTTAAAATATTTTTCTTTGTTTGGTATCATTTGAAATATTCATATATAATTTTGAACAAATTCAATTTTCTGTCAATTATTTTGTTGCCTAGTAAGCGCTTCCAAATGGAAAATAATTATGTTATGTTTAAAGGTTATAATTTATAATAAATTTCTAAGATTTTCTCACCAGCCCCTTTGACATTTCCATGTATCTTTATTTATTATTTCTTGATAATTATTTTTTTTAAAAAAGAAACAACTACTAAGATGACTAAATAACACAAAAACGACTCAAAAAAGTTTGATTATTAATATCTTTTTGTTTCTTTTAACAATTTAGTTACCAACTTGAGGTAGGGCAACTAAAATTCAAACAATGTTGGTGTGGTTTATATTTGAGAAATTCATTATTTTCTTGTGTTTTTAGATTTTCTGATTTTAGGCTGATTTATATAATAAAATGCTTATTTGATTTTACCAGCTTCCCAATTTATGATAGAAGTAAATGTAATTTATTAATGTCTTTGTACGCCAAATATAGGTATATGATGGATGTAACTTTAACCCGCAGGAAAAAAAGTTAATGTTGAAAGAAATATTATCGCATATTAATGGTTTTACACGACTACGTGACTTCCCGCATAATTTGCACTAAAAACAGTAATTTCACCTAATTTTGTAATTAAGTCGGTGAGCGCGGCCGTTTTCCATTCATAATAATCTAGGTATAATAGTAGTTAACTACATTTTTACGACGTTCACTACATTCCTTTGTCCAAATAAGGACTTGCCGTCGGCAATTTGATATATATGAATACATTTATATGGTGTAGTATAATACATTTATTTCACATTCTATTCAGGAAAAAATTACCCCTCGGGATTTATCGACATTTGACCTATGCGGCAAAATATTTCATCATTTAATTTTATTCAAGTTGCGGGTTTCCAAACAAGATCTGATTTCTGATTTCATTTTTTTTTTTACATAAAGCATTCCCTGTAAGCAATTGAACAATGTAAATACATGAAATGATGTAATGTATCACACAGTAAGTTAATTATTAAAATGTCTAATGAAGTTTATGAGTTTTTAATATTCATAAATGATTCATTTGTCAAATATAATTATTTATTTTTGAGAGTGACTGCATGTATAATTTATGGTGTTAATATTTAAAGCATTAATCATAGTTATTTCTCTCAAAATAACTATGATATCATAACATTACTGGCCTTGAAAAGTGCATCTTTAAATAGAATAATCTTTAGAATTCGTTTTTAAGCAATAACAAAAAAATCAGAAATTCAGTTTATTTTTATATTTTGGATACATTTTGAAATTAAAATATCACATTATATTAAATTGATCAAGACTATATTTCTTACTTTAAGTAACAGTCTGTTTATTACTTAAAAATTGCAGATTTGTAACAGTTTTGTTCTTAAATCCACATGAAACTTAATCCAGACAATTTAACATACCTAATAATGTAATTGTCCATATTTCATAATAATCTGATTTCATTGATGCAAATTTTGATATTGCTGTTCAACAGTTCCAACTTTGTCAATACAAAAAAAAATTTCTTTCGTAAGTATTATCTTTAGGTAATATTGCAGTTATAAACCAAAGTTTTGGGGGCTTTTTTCTGCCTGTTTGTCCATCCAGGGCTTATGTTCATTTTTGGGCTCTTAACTTGTCATTTTTTACCCAAAATCAATGGAACAGCTTTCAAATTGGTATTTTTCCCCAATTTCAATGTAAAATTTGCCAAATTGGTGGCCCAAAATTAATGTAAAATCATTTAAATTGGTCATTTTCCCCAAAATCAATGTAAAAGCTGTCAAGTTGGTCATGATTTTCCCCAAAATCAAAGTAAAAGCCTTCAAACAGGTATTTTTCCAAAACTTTATGTAAAATGTTGAAGACAATGACTGTGAAAACCATCAAATTTGTCATTTTATTCGAAATCAATGTAATAGTGGTCATTTTTTCCAAAATCACTTGAGATGGGCCTCTATTGTGTTTCCAAAACAACAGCACTTAATGATAGATAACTGTGATAAGTATAAAGATATATATGTTTTAGTTGAGTTGGATGGGGGGGGGGGGGGAATAAGATATGGAATCTTGAAATAAAATAAAATGGAAGCATAAAAAGTTGATGTTTACTTTGATGAGAGGGTGGAGGAATGTTAATTGAAGAATGATAATAGGTGCAGCTGTTAGAATTTGTACATTTCTCCCTTATAATGAATGAAATATTTTACTCTTGTAAAACAATTTACTCTGGGAATGCTTGCCAAGAAATACCAATGCACACCATGCCTTATCATTAAAAAAATTTTATGATGTACCCTGTACTACCTGAGTATCAAGCCATATACTATAGCCTGTATATCCATGGTGTCTGACAGCTCTACAGATCATATAATTATCTTTGTTATGCCCCCACAATGTGGGAGCATATAGCGTTGCACTTGTCCGTCCGTCCGTCCGTCCGTCAGTCCGAGCAAACATTTGATATTTATGAGCTTCATTCCGTAGTTAAATAAAGAACAAAAGCTCATAAAATTCAAATTAAGAGCTATTTTTTTTATTTTAGGAGCTGATTTTGCTTATGGACTTTGGTCCAGGTGTAGTTTATGAGCTGATTTACCTCTTAAATATCAAAAGTTGGTACGTCCGTCCGTCAGTCCGTCCGTCCGTACGTCCCGAAATCTTGTGAATGCAACTCCTCTTAAACCGGATGGCAGATTTTGCTCAAACTTACAGGGATGAACAACCTTAATGTGTAGATGGTAGTAAAGGAAGGAATTTTCGCTGCGACTAAATTTAACAGAATTATGGCCCTTTGTTGATTTTTTCACTAGATACTATGTAGAAATTTTGTCCTCTTAAACCGGATGGCAGATTTTGCTTAAACTTACAGAGATGAACAACCTTAATGTGTAGATGGTAGTAAAGGAAAGAATTTTTGCTGCGACCAAATTTAACAGAATTATGGCCCTTTGTTGATTTTTTCACTATATACTATGTAGAAATTTTGTGAACGCAACTCCTCTTAAACCGGATGGCAGATTTTGCTTAAACTTACAGGGATGAACAACTTACAGGTGTAGATGGTAGTAAAGGAAGGAATTTTTGCTGCGACCAAATTTTACAGAATTATGGTCCTTTGTTGATTTTTTCACTATATACTATGTAGAAATTTTGTGAATGCAACTCCTCTTAAACCGGATGGCAGATTTTGCTTAGACTTCCAGGGATGAACAACCTTAATGTGTAGATGGTAGTAAAGAAAGGAATTTTTGCTGCAACCAAATTTAACAGAATTATGGCTCTTTGTTGATTTTTTCATTATATACTATGTAGAAATTTTGTGAACGCAACTCCTCTTAAACCGGATGGCAGATTTTGCTTAAACTTCCAGGGATTAACAACCTTAATGTGTAGATGGTAGTAAAGGAAGGAATTTTTGCTTCGACCAAATTTAACAGAATTATGGCCCTTTGTTGATTTTTAGTTTTCAACTTGTGGCACATGTAGTCCAAAAAATATTTGACCTAGAGTCATAAGATTGACAGAACAGTGGCGTGTGGGGGCATCCGTGTCCTATGGACACATTTCTAGTTTAATTTTAGTATTTTGATTTAAATTCCAAGTTTATACAGAGTTTAGGGTATGTTAATATGATTATTCAGGAAGCTATATGAATATAGACATTCTCAAATCATTTCCTGAAAGCAGCCAGTATTATTAAGCAATGAAAAGTTTCTTGTTCACAGTTTCTTGCTTCAAAGAAACAAAGGCTTGCCCTTGATGAGTTTGAACCTTATATTAACCAGTCAGCAATCTTTTAGATTATGAGTCCAACTTGTTAACAATAATAATTGAGAAGTTTCAAATTCAAATCGGGGAAAGTTCATTACCACAAATTTAGGTTGGGGTTAACAAGTTACAATATAACCTAAACCAAATATGGCAAGCATTTGCCACCTGGAAAATAGGTTAGTAATAGAGCCAGGCCGGCTTGCACATTTGTGTAGTTTGACCATGCAGGCTCTATATTGTTGGCTGTCCAAGTTCAAATTTTGTTCATCTTGATATCCCTAAAATAGTTAATGGACAGTTCCAATATGGAAGCCTGAAAAGTCCATTTAAAAAATTCTGTAGGTTAACTTAACAGATGTCTTGACATTATCTGATAAGGATTGGTTGGAATGCTGAATATTTTGTTTTCTTTTTGTTGATGTGTTGTTGTTTATTGTTGTTTATTCTGATGAAAATTCCATAATTTTAATTTCTAATTATAGCTCATAAATATTTGAAATGTTGCCAAATATGATAACGGATCTATGATTTATAAATTGGTAATGTTCACACCAGAG